CGTGCTACTATTGAGAATTTATAAAACCCAGTAGTACTTTGTACGACCCGGGAATCGAACCCGAGACCCCTTGCCGCCGCCTTGCGACCATTCGGCCAACGAGGCAGTCTTATCATTTCCTCAACTTTTTTCAAGTCAACTTTAGGTTTCTTTGTATCAATTCCTTTATTGAACTCGTTTCTTTGTCTTGGTTGTGGTAAATGCTAAGCAAGAGTCTGACGGTTCGAGTTTATAACCGACTTCAAAGAAAATAGGTGCTCTGTTTGATCTGTATGTATGTATGTATGTATGTTAGCATTTATCTCGTGATTAGATGAACCGATTTTGATGCGGTTTTCAGAAAAGGGTTTGTTATAATTAGGAAAAGGTTTTAGTATATTAACCCCTCGAGCGTCCTTATGAGCACCCGGTGGATCATAAGAAAAAATGCTCCATGCAGCTTTCTCTTTTATAAAATCTATTATTAATGTTTTGTTTTTATTTTGACTGTATTTGTTTTATTTCTATTGTGTTGATCCTTGTCTTCGTGTGCCAATGGCCAAATAAATGCATTTTCTTGCATGCATAAGGATAAGGAAATGCATAAGGAACGCGGCCGCTCGACGGGTTAACAAACGTCAAAAAAGAAGCGGTTAAAGTTAGTTTTTATAAAAGAATTATTGTTTAATAGATTTTAGTTTCTCCTCCTCTTCAATCGAAACTCAGGATCAAGTTACCGAAATCATTTCCCCCTAAATTCATTCCTAAGGACGGCCATGGGCTCCGTCTGCTCATTTGGCGACCTGTTCCCATAAAAACATATTATTAAGCTGATCAGTCGTCGCGGAGAACCTAACGGGTTGCCGGGGCTCCGGCTGGACGTGCAGGAGAAGGAACGGGGTGGTTTTTAGTCAGTAAGAGTCACTCACTCAGACGGGAGCTGTCATACTATGATTTTCCCCCCTTAAAAAAGCTGATCAGTCAGTTTAGTTAGTCATTAATTACATAGTGTTTTTTTAAAATTTTTTTTAAGGGGGGAAAATCATCGAATGACTGCTCCCGCCTGGGTAAGGCGTAAGGGAGTGTCAGACTCTTACTGACTAAAAACCACCCCGTTCCTTCTCCTGCACGTCGAGCCGGAGCCCTGGTTACCCGTTAGGTTCTCCGCGACTTATTACATAGTGTAGGTGTGGGTCTTAACTTTATACTTACATTATAATCTACGCTTAGTACTCACATCTTAAGAACTTACCTATCGAGAGACCTAGCCAAGTCTAGAACTTAGTATTTGAATAACAAACAAGATTGACTTTTGAATACCAATAACTAAAATCGTTATAGTGTAGGAAGTATACGCCTAACTGTCCTGAATGTTACGTGAGCACTAGATCTAAGAATCTAGGTTCAGCTTAGTGCTCAAGTATTGCCTGGCTGGTGACCAGTTTGTCAAGAATTATTGGTTATTTATTATACTTAATCACTGACTAATGGAAAACTTGATCGATTCACTGATTTTATAAAGATTAAGTAACAGTGCTTTAGCTTACTTTTACTCATTTACTCAGTAATCAATAGCCGGGTGATGACGCCAGAAAGAAACTCCTTCGGCGTGTTTTGTAAAAGCTGACTTAGTGAAAACACGTCGGATAGATCGGGCAACAACCCTCTATAAAGCTGATCTGTGGTCTAAATGTCGTGGTGGCCCGGAGGTTTAAGACGCCCGCTTCTCATGCATGAGGGCGCGGGTTCAAAACCTACCAAAGGCAAGTACCAATGTGACTTTTTCCGAGTTATATGTTCTTTCTGAGATTATTCAGACACCACTGACAAGCGGTGAAGGAAAACATCGTGAGGAAACCTGGTCTTATAATTTCTAATTATAAGTTTGTAATCGCCAACCCGCATTGAGCTTGCGTGGTGATTAATGCTCAAACCTTCTCCGTGTGAGAAGAGGCTTTGCTCAGCAATGGGCATTTATACGCTGTTGATGTGTGTGGTCTAAATCTACACGGGATACTTGTATACGGTTTAAATTTGAGAATTCAAGAATAGTGGATAGCAGAGAGAGAAGAATAGAACATAATATTCCTTTTTAGAAGGTACAATGCACTTGAGACTCCTCTGGTGTTGCAGGTGTTCATGGCCGGCGCTGATCGTTCTGTATAAGGGATCTGTATATTTGTTAGTAACAATATTATTATAAAATTATTATAGAAGAATTGTATTGTGAAACTGATTGGAAAAGAGTAACCTATGGAGTTCTTGCTCGTTCTTCTCCATAGAAATCTACACCTTGGAATGAGCAAATAGGTTCACTTTTAAATTTCTATTGATAACGTTCAAAAGTGCCTTCCTGGTCTAATTGAAATAAATGATTTTTGACTTTTGAACTTTTTTGCGTTACAATTTTGATAGAATACCTATTCTATCTCTAGTGCAGCGCTAGATGTAGAATGTACCTTTGTATGTGTACGTAATTAAATAGTTACGTGCAAAAATTTAAATTGAATCCTGAACTAGTCGGGTACAGACTAATTGTAAACTTCATTGCAATCAAGCTTTGCCTATTGTTCCGTTTTTACTGAGCGTATTTTTTAGTCCGGGTAATCGAACCTACAATATCAAGGTTGACAATTTACTTGTCATTCAATGAAGTTGTAAGATTAGATTCTGATAATGGGAATGCCTTTGTTACCGTATGCTTAAGAGTATTTATAGAAGAAGCAATTCTACCCAAAGCTTTTTTATACCAGCCGCCGTGGTTTACAGTAGTTATAGTATTTTCCCATAAACCGACTATCACTGCATCTTATAAGATGCTGTCCTTCATTCTTTTGCATCTCTTTTATTCTTGCTTATAACCTTAGAAATAATCCGATTATGAGCATTAACTTAGTACTTACCCTTTTTTAGAATCTATTTGTATAATTATGCTTTGCAGCTTTTTCCCCGCGAGGTTTCGAAAATGCCTGTCCATAGCGAGTCCTTTACTAAGTTGAATCTAGATAATATCAGTGTATCTTTTTAATATTGTACTTTTTTGGTTCGTTTTAATTCGTTGTAAGCAGCTGACAAGAAGATAACATCTAATTGTTCCAAATAAAGTAATCCATTTCATAATGCCCGTCTTGTTTTGTTCCGATTAAGATCTAAAACAAAATAGTTTTTGTTAATAAATGTTTCAACACCAATTTTCCATTTAGTGCGAGCAATATTACAATATTAATAACATTGCAGTTAGGTATAAACAACGTATTATATTATGTCCGCGTTGACCACAAGGCTAAGTTAGGCCATTCTCTCTCCACTTGCACAGAAACTAACAGTAGATCAACGTAGGACAAGATTTTTTTTTATGGCATAAGCCAGTAAACGAGCAGACGGATCACCTGATGGAAAGCAATCGGCGTCTCCCATGGACACCTGGAACACCAGAGGCGTTACAAGTGCGTTACCCGCCTTTTGGGGTTTAGGAGTTTGAGGATCGTTGGGGATTGGGCCTCCGGTAACCTCACTGACACGACGAAACACATCGCAAGCGTTGCTTCACGTCGGTTTCCTGTGAGGCCGTGGTATCACTCCGGTCGAGCCGGCCCATTCGTGCCGAAGCATGGCTCTCCCACACATACCGATACCGAAGATAGGGAAATTCTACAGAATTTTTCAAGACGGCAGATGATTAACGGCTGCTAAACTTATATCATTTGTATAAACAAACTGCTTTGTATTATTAACACAGTATTCTTCAGTTGGCACAGGAACTGTTGTTGTTTACTGAACCCTATGGTTGCTGGGTGTTGCTCTTGGACGCGTAGAGCTAAAGATCGAGGTCAGTGGCGTGCCATTGGAGACTCTCCAATGGAGAGACCTATGTCTAGCAGTGGACAAGAACAGGCTGTTGATGATGATGATGATAATAATGGTTGCTTGCTAGCAGATAATACTGAATTCCCATTATTGCATTCCAAGGACCATCAAAATATTTACCGATAAGTAGGACTGAATATTTGAATGGTACTAAATTCGCAATTTGGCTTTGAAATAAAAAAAGTTATATTTAGTTAAGTACTAAGTTGGCATACTGTATAATATTTTTACTATAGACACTGTAGGCGCCGAGTCGAAGTTTCTTGTAGCATTACTTTGCTAAAGGAATTTGATTGAAAAAATGTATAGCTAGCTAGTAAATAGTTATAGCAAATACTTTGAAGTATTTGTCCTATTACAGGTCTCGATGGCGTCACTAGCTATGTTCTGTACCCGTTGCATCAACTTTTTCATCTTAGCATTCTCAGTCATTGCGTATAATCCAAAATAGTGTATGCGTCTGTGAATAATGTGAACTGTAATAAACTCACACAGGAACAGCTTAGATTTTTCTCAAGAAAGTCATTTCATTTACTTCGTTCTTGTCAAAAACTTCAAGAAAACGTACTAACCAAAAACAAAAGGTAACCAACCCTTCGCTTGACCTTTGCAGCAAAAGATACAAATCTCATAAGCAAATTATACTTTTTTTAATCTTGTTTTGCGATGATTACATTTTAATTGTAAAGACCTCATAAACTTCAATTTACACAATAAAGTGAGTTTATCTTGTTCAAAGATGGGATTATTTTATAAAACCATCAATTACATTTACAACCATATCGTAACGAGCGCGCATCGGTTACGCAACGACACCGCTCCGACAAGATCAAGGTCACGGTTTACTTTTAACTGAAATAGCTTAACGCTGTTCTTTTTGTAACAACTTTAACTGCGTAACTTTATCTAAGTTTCACGGTTTATGAAGACTGTTACGTTGTTTTATTTTACTTCCGAAATGCAACAATAATAATTGTGTTCACTTTTATTTTCAGTGTTAAATAAAACTTAAAAATTAATTTTACCCACAAGGCCTTACTTAAATTTACAAATATCACATTAAGAATTATCCTGGATAATATAATGGTTCACCACAGGACCCAAAATACTACCCTGAGGAACCCCTAACTAAAAATCGCATTCTCTCCTTCCAGGCCCTGATTCTCTGTGCAGCGTGGTTGGCAGTTTACTGCCAGGGCCCCAACGGTCCTACCACCACCCCAGTACCCATCCTGAAGCAGATCAACAGACAGAACGATGATGGATCTTACAGTTACGGATATGAAGCTGCTGACGGATCCTTCAAGATTGAGACAAAATACCCGAATGGTGATGTAGCTGGAAAGTATGGATATGTTGACGAGAATGGAAAAACTAGAGAGATCTCGTATGGTGCCAGCAGTCAGAGAGGTTTCGAGCCCGAAGGTAGGATTGTTGTTGTTTTAGCTGTACTGTTCTTGCGGGGATTATGATTTGTGATTAAGGATGATCACAACGATAGATACAGAAGTGTAGGGCCAGGTTTAGGTTTCATTTCTTCATAGCTTCTCTTAGTATTAGTTGTCTACTTTTATTTTCTTTATTAGTCTTAGTCTTAGTTATTCTCTTAAGATTATGTTGCGTTTGTAAATTCTTTGATGATAAAATGACAATACACATCTAAAATTTAACAAGTAAAAAATACGGCTTATTATAAAATACTAGGTAAATAACACTATGCGATTATTCTTCATTCAATCTCAAGTTCATATGAAAAATATTGTGGCACTACTTATTTGAAAACAAAATTTTGTATCAAAAGTTGCAAATGGTGGCTTGAAGAACGCGATGAAGACATAAACAAATACAGCTCATCAATTTAATTACCACTTCTTTCAACAACTGGACGTTGCTACCGAGTTAGCATAAGCATACCATATCAACAGCTGAGCCTAACTGGAGCGGTTACGCCATTCGTTTCACTGATTGGTCAACACATCATGGTGTAATACCATGGTGGTCCGACACGGTAGCCGATGGTCAGCTGTATATGGAGTAATAGCAATTGAACTGATATTAGAAAGAGATTAAGCTTTCTTATGAGTGGAAAGATAATTGCGGGGTTTGATATAATGGTCGTTACGTTTTTAAAAGATGTGTGTAATTTGATATTATTATGGTTAATTGAGGACTTTGTTGAGCAAATAAGAGCAGGTGTGACTGTTAATTGAGGGTTAGTTTTTGATATCGAATCTTGTGATAAACCATGGACTAATGTAAAAATAATTTTTTTGGTTCTGTTACGAAATCAGTATTTGTAAGAAATTTAGTTTGGTGCCAGGATTTTTTAACTTTTTTATCTTCTTAAACTCATGCCGATTCCCAAGATGCAAATATGTAGCACCAATTTAGTTGTCTCTCTTCATAAAGGCATTCATAAATTATTATACACTAGCGACCCGCCGGTGCAATGTGCATGTATTATACATATAAACCTTACTTAAGAATCAATCTATCTATTAAAAAAAACCGCATCAAAATCCGTTGCGTAGTTTTAAAGATCTAAGCATACGTAGGGACAGACAGACGGCGGATAGCGACTTTGCTTTATACTATGTAGTGATATAAAAGAACATGGTCTAGAAAATTATCATGAATTAGTATATCTTGCAACTTTACACTATACTTCTGCCTAGTGCCTTCAACCTTCACGGCCTGATAACTGTCCTAACTACATAATTCTCGCTAACTACAAGATTAACTTACTTAATAGTTAAGTTAACGTAACATTGCAACAGTTAACTATTTAACTTGAATACTCTTTAATTTGTTAAGCTCTCTTAACTTTGTTGTATGCGTGAAATTATTTAAGAAATTAACGTAAAATATTATGATAACTAGAATTTGAAGATAAAGGAATGAATTGGAGTAGATACCCTACATGCGTTAGTTAACATGTCTATAATTAACATAACATAACAACACGCCTTTTATCCCCAAACGGGCAGGCAGAGGTGTAGGTACATTATGCCACTGTACAATGTAACACCTACTTTTCACTATTTATGTTATGAGTCCCATCTAATATGGACCCATTGCCATATACCGGGCATAATTCCAAATTTTGTGCTACTACTGAGGATTTCTAAAACACCATAATACTTTGCCCAACCCGGGAATCGAACCCGAGAGAACTTGCGACAACTCGGCCAACGAGGCAGTCTATTATTGTGGTAGGTTTAAAATGGGTAGGCCCAAAGAGTATAATTGGGTAGGCCCTTTGAGATTCAAGCGACAACATCAAATTAATAAATTCTGCTTTTAAAACTATGATCAATATGCTTAAAAATTTCGTATCATTCCAGGCCCTGGCATCATGGTGCCCCCACCAACTCTAAACAACCCTCAATCCTCGAACGCTCTCACTGATGGCCAGGAAGACGATGGCCAGTACCGTGAAGACCCTAGCATCTATGAGGACCCGAAGTACAACAGCCGCGCCCAGCCACGACCAGCTCCCATCAGACAGTTCCACCAGCCTGCTCAACCAGCGCCTGCGAGACAGTACCAACAACAGCCCCAGTTTGCCCCAGCACCCACAGCTGCTCCAGCTCCTCAATACCAGCAGCAGAGCCAGTTTAGATCAGCTCCTCTCTACTCCCAGCAAACCAGCCTCTTCAACCAAGGTCCTCAGCAATTCCCAGCCCAAAACCAGGACTTCCGTCCTCAGAGCCAGGTATACCACCAGCAGCCTCAATTCTCGTACCAGGCTTACACTCCTCAGCCTTACCAGAATTTCCAGAGCCAGAGTTTTCAGCCCCAGTACCAACAGCAGCAGTACCAGGGCCAGAATCAGAATTTCAACCCATTTGTTGGCCACCCCGCCCAGAACTTTGACCCCAGCTCTGGGTCGTACTCCATCAACTTCACCGGTTAAGTGATTATTGTTATTGTTGTTTGATGGTGTAAGTTGTAGTATTATTGTGTTTGTGTAGACGATTCGTAGACTTTAGTAGACTTTGATGGTAGTATCAGGATTTACTACAATTATCACCGAAGTTTTTAAATCACAGGTTATCCTTTTGTCTCAATAAGAGGATAATCTCTGATTTGAATATCAGCTTACTTATGCCCCTCTTCTATTTGAATTTCAATTTAAGTCAAACTTAGTTAATACTGATTAATACTTAAATTGATTTTTAAATACCAACGTAGTATTCCATTATATTTTTCACTGCCAATTTAAAGACATGAATCGTTTATACGAATACTCAAATTTTGTACAAAATATTAGAATATTGTAAAGGGTACCTCCCAGCGTGACGAACGATATATTTTTTACGATTTTTGTATAATTTTAGTACTAGTCAATTGTTTCGGTGTATTTTATACAAATTGAAGGAAGGAGCTTTAATTATATTGTGGTTAACAAATAACAATATCAATTAATAATTTATTTATATTCTTTCTTGATACCTAAATATTAAGATTACGTACTATCACACTTAATAATTATACGTAGTTTTAATAATATGTATGTATATTTTTATGAACCATATTTTTTAAATGTTCATTACCTAAATGTGCAACTATAGCAGACATAAAAAAATCCCTAATTTAAAAAAAAGCAGATATTTATTAAGTATTTTATTAATAAGTATGTACCGTTTGGTACATACTTATTACTATATATGTGTTGTGTACTATATATGTGTTTACATATACGGACCTACATACGAAAAAGAAATGGGCAATATTATAAAAAAAGAATAAAACACTTTGCAAAAGTTGCTCATAAACGAAATATAAATATTATATTAATTTACACACAGTTTATTCCTCTATTTTTATATATTTTACACTATTTATGATACTTTACATGTGAATATTCAATAATTTTAACTTACTAAAACTTTATCAAATATTTATGTATCTACATTATATACACAAATATTAATAAGTACTTTTAGTAATTGTTTATCTATCTATGTATATATATAATAACATATATGTACTATATTATATACACTATACAGATACCACAAGTATTTGAATGCTATCATAGTTAGAATTAAAAAATAAATTAAAAAAAAACAGCTTAGACAAAACGCATGTGTTTCTGAAGCTAAATTGAATAGATATATCAAATTGTTTTTATATAAAAACTATGCTGAAACATACTGAATAAAATAAAAATAACAATTCACTCACGTAAATATACTGAAAAAAGCTCTATCTAATAAGAGTCCCTGTTTGGCTCGAAAGTAGTAGAGCCTTCCTCAATATATTTACGTGAAAAAACCGTTATTTTTAGTTAATTCAGATATCAAATTGATTCATTTATTAGTAAAAAATATTTATTCCTAAGACCTCCATTTAGGTGGGTACAAATTAATATTTTACAATGATATGACAGGGTCTTTTTATGCTGGATGCAGGTCGCTTCCAACCGGCCTGGAAGTCATTGGGGGAGGCCTATGTTCAGCAGTGGACGTCCTGAGGCTGATATGATGATGATGATGATGATGATGATGATGATGATGATGATGATGATGATGACATAGTCTTACTATGTGCAGAATTTTTTAAAGGCTTTTTTATGTGAACCATCTTGGTCCATATTCAAGGCTGTATCAGCTTGTATTTTACAGCTAATCCATAGAACCGCTATCGTTTATTTATGGCAGTCCATTTGCAGTCTACGGATTAGCTGATGTCATTAGCTTGCAGCCTCTTTTGTCTAGGCTTAATGGAAGACCTAATGTCATTCTCCTTTAGGTCTGTTTTTCTAGGTAAGTGTAAAATAATTCCAGTTTTAAGAAAAGAGGTAATTGATAGAACATGTTGTGTTATTCAAAAATGTTTACGCCCGATTAGTGATTGTCTTTTGTTTTGTCTGAGTAACCTTAGTTTAAAATCTTAGCAATTTACTTCAGAAACGCATGCCTTTAGCCTAATACAGGTGCTTTGTAAAACATTTGCAACACTATTATATGATTATAAACAAATTAATAATGTTTTTCGGCGTAATAACTGTAATTGGGTACTGAACTTTTGTAAAACTGAGGAGAAAAACTAAATCAGATTTATTATAAAGTTTTAGCGCCCAATTGATAATTTTGACGTCTGGTATAAAATTAGTTAAAATTAATTTTTAATGTCGTTTTTACTGTTCTGCCTATCTTATTGAAATATATATCACAATCTAACAGTGAAATAAGCATTCAATAAACGAATAAAAGATTACGCGCACGCGCTATTTTCAAAATGGCGGCGGTGTGCGAAATAATACGTGTACCGATTGTAAATATATGATTAAATAAAGTGTTATGTAATATACAGTGTGTTTTATTTTATTGTCACAGTGAAAGTGCACTAGTTATAGTACAGTTGGTGCTTATTTATTATGCACATGGTCGAATCGGAAATGAGTGAGTGCAATTTAGAGTAGTTGTTTGTATATTGTGCATACTGAACTTAATGATATGGATCCAATCTATGTAACTATTACGATATACGATTGTAGCCTCATTCGTTGTGTATCACGTTCGATTCCTGGGCCAATACAATTTATATAGTAAGCAATGTTATGTAGTATGGAATTGTGCCTGATGCATGCCAATAGGATCGCAAATTATTAAGTTAGAGAAAATTATAAGCCAAAGAAGGTATTGTAGATTATTTCATAGCATTCCTAGTCTTCCTAGGACATTGACTACTGCTACCGATACATACCATAACATCGCGCTTTTTATCCCCGAAAGGGTAGGCAAAGGTGCACATTATGGCACTTAATGCCATTGTACAAATGTAATACCCACTTTTCACTATTTATGTTATGAGTCCCATGTAATAGGGGTGAGCCTATTGCCATATATCGTGCACGTATTCAGACTCCGTGCAACTACTGAAATTAAAAAAAATCCATATAATACTTTGCCCGACCCGGGAATCGAACCCGAGACCCCTTACCCGGCAGTCGCACTTGCGACCATACAGCCAATGAGGCACTGTTACCCAATCCAAGTAGAAACCACTATAGTGTTAAAATGACGTCAGCTTCTCTAAAACTGCGTAGGCACATAAACAGGCCTAAAATCTACAATGAATTCTGAAGTGACAGCAAGATATTATTTACTCAGAACCTACAAACTGACATTGTATTTTGGGAAGTAATTCAATAAATTATAAAGGCGTTCACAATCTGGTAATTCAAGTGTAGAGAGGAAGTTCTGTGGGCGGCTTACATATCCGGCTCGTGAGCAGGCGGCCTTAGTCATACCAAATATACGTACGTGATAAAAGGTGTGATTGGCATTTTGTCTTATATAGGTTTATATTATTTTATCTTTTAATCCAAGGTACTATTGACGATCGATGACGATTCTTTCATAAGTTACGTGAAATGTTTGATAGAAAAGAAATGTTACTGTTCCGGACGGACGGACAGACAGGGATGCGACATCCTTCAGCGAAATGAAAACTAAATATTTTTCCAGTTGTTTGTTTTTCTTTAACTTAAGCCGGTAAAGGAGCGGACGGATCACCTGATGGTAAGCAATCGGCGCCGCGCATGGACACTCGAAACACCAAGGCGTTACAAGTGCGTTACCGGCCTTTTGGGAATTGGAAATTTGAAGATTGTGGAGGATTCGGGGATTGGGTAGACGGGGACTAGGAAGGGGGGTTGTTGGGCCTCCGGTAATCTCACTCACACGACGAAACACAACGCAAGCGTTGTTTCACGTCCGATAAACGGTAAATGTTGTGTAGCATGGATTTCCGCAAAGTAACGCCTGATTCTATTCTATATATGTACATATATTTGACGTTACGCATTTACTATAATGCTTATTTATAGTACAGGACTATATCGTCGTTTGAGTTTAAGGACCGAGTAACTATGTGTTTATGGATGTTATAAGTATAGAAGCGACAAACGGTAGCTACTTTCCCGTCATATATTTAGAAGATAATCCACTTTTAAGAGGTAGCCTTTTTAAACAGTGCACATTTAAATACAGGTCAAACGTTGTACAAGAGTATTTATATTTGCTAAATCTCTGCTGAACTCTCAAGTAAGTAATATTTATTAATCACATTAAAAGACCAATTAAGTGATTACTAACATCAATTAAAATATCCAGTACTAAAAACTAGAGCAGATTTAATGTCAATCCATTGACAGCTCCGTTGTTGCATAATGTCGTCAAAATGTCAAGAGTGAGTCGCAAGGCCGCCTCGACTTACAACTTGGGTACAAGTGATGCAGATTGTGGGTACCAAGTTCTAACATAACTTAACTTAGCAATAGGGTAGGTGCCTAAATCTTATTTTAATGTCCGTCTGGTACATTATTTTAAAACATTAAACACGTATTTTTTCTTTTCTCACAAAATTAAATACCTTTGACGATAATTATTTTTATTATAATCTGAAATATCGTGTGACGTCACAATACGCTACATTTAGTGACGTAACGACCTCCCACTCCTAAACTTAACTCCATTTTATCTAGGTATTAGTACTATTTTGGGTCTAATTCTGCCACATAGAAGAAACCCCTAATGTTTAATATACATATATTTACAGATAGCAATTTGAAAGAGTGAACTTATAACCACATACATATCTTTGACAATTTAAGATGGGATCAATTTTTTAAATAATATTTCGCCCTTCTTCATTTTCATGACTGATATTAAATACTTATAAAGTTTAATGTGAAATGAAATTAAACGGAATGATTCTTATATGTACATTAACGACGTATTTATAAAAAAAATGTAAATACCTTAATAATTACATCCGAGTTGTAAAGATAGTAATAAAATAATTAATGTTTCTGTCAGCTGGCCTTTTCAAAGGACGTAGGTAAGTATTTCCATCGTCTTGGACAGTTATTATGTTAAATACTTCCGAAAAATCTTGTTTAATTAATAATCCATTTTATATGACACCTTGGCGCTATATTTACATTTTTGATATCGTGGCCCATACAAATGTCGTGCGTGGTGTCCCGGAGGTTGAGACGCCCGCTTCTCATGCGTGAGGG